GGCATGTGCACTCACCAGAAAGACAGAGAGAGACAGAGAGACAGAAAGCGAGAAATTATCCTCCAGGCGGGATGACCGCACTGCAATTCCTTCTCCTCCATTCTCTTTCTGGGATCTTGGGCATGCATGCACATGCACCTGGTGTGAGTTTAAGCCACTGGGTCCAACACTTGAATCGCAGTCAACTACAAGGGAGTCCAGCGACATAGCCATTATGCCAACTACTGGTCCCTTTAACGAGGTTTTCTTATCACACATAGGGGAGATATTACGAGTGTGATTGTGGGAAAGGGAGACTTCAAAAAGTTCGTGGAAAATGTGTGCCCCCCCCCTTTTTTTTTCAAATTTTAAGAAATAATGTTAAGAATACAAATACAAGCAGGCAGTGAAAAAAAAATCTATTAAAATGAGTGTTGAGAAATTAAAGCAAGAAATGTGGAATGATAAAAAGATACTTAAAAATTCTGAAGCATATTCTACTTGATCAAAACAACATTCAAAAGTAGAATGCCCTTATTACCAGTAGAACCTTGTTTCGTTTTTAAACAAATCTAGGTTCCGTTGCTATTGTTTTATCTGAGTGCTGAAGTCACATAGCTAACATCTGTAGTTGTGTTTCTACTATTTTTTTTTGTATCTTTTCATGATGTTTTACAAAAAGGATCTAAAAGAGATAGTATGATAATTTTTGTGAGTTCTGGCAAATGCAGTTGTAAAAGTGGAAAATCTTACATAGAAACAAATTTTTATAAACTTTTGCATTTGTACAGTACTAAAAAAAAGGTAAGATTTTAAAGAAACAATTATGGTAAAAGAGTAGATATAGAGAAAAATGTCAAAGTTTACTTCCGGTGGTTCGTCTGTTTGCAGAAATTAGCTTATTGTTCCAGTGTTGCTGTTCCGCTCTGAACTATCTGTGTGTATGTAAAATGTACCAGCAAGAAGATCAGGTCAAGGAAGGTCTTTTCTGTTCTCTTTTCTGATAGTCAAAAGGCTTCTGACATTTTTGTTTATCCTTCATTCTTAGGCCAAGAGTACAATTTTCTGAAGATGGAACCTGGAGAAGTAAACTCACTTGGAGAAAGATATGACTTTGACAGTATCATGCACTATGCCAGGAACACCTTCTCAAGGTTGGAGTCTCAGGTTATACCTTTTGACTTTTAATTCCTTCCCTCCATGTGTCTCCTCACAAAGCTATGCTTGTTATTACAGCTACTGAGTCGTCAGAAAAGTCATGTCATATTTTTCTATGCAAAAATGTGTCATGACATTTCCGACGACCCACTAGAACCACTTTCAAATATTGCTGCATCATCGCAGAAATAACGTAGAAAAATAGTGATTAAAATGGATAGCCATTAGCAGACATTTAAAAGATATTTTTATATTGCCTATCTGAGTTTAAAGGGACAATTAAAATGGAATAGATTATTGGGTCATTGAAAATGTTGTGACACATTTTTGTATAGAAAAACATAGAAAAATACGTCATGACTTTCCTGATGACCTAATCTTTTGAACTAATTTATATTCCTAAATTATTAGAGGAAGTTCTAAATTATTTTCAACAATTACCAAACCATTGAGCATCTGAAATTGACAAAGTATTGTTTAATGACAATTAGGTAGTCATAAATCCATTAGTTTCTTAGTTGTTGAGCTGGAATATAACATGCTGTTTGTAACTTGTGGTTTTTACTGGGTATTTTTCATTAATCAAATGGCACTTATTCTCAAAAATTGATGTTACTAAATGGATTCTCAGAGAGGAGGTTAGGAAGTTACTTAATGTGATTTACTATTATAGCTTAAGATTATTAACCTTAAAGTTATTTCCTTAATGACCGAGTGCTATTTTTAAAGAAGGCAATAATTTTGGGGTTTTGATCTACTTCTTTTGATCATCTAAAGATCATGCCATCAAGCAGGTACTTCCCAAGTAAGGAAATGGTCAATCATTGGAAATTCATCCCTTTTTCCACTTATGCCCATTTTACATATGTCCATTTCGGCCCATTCTTCAGGTGCATTTATATCCATTTCACAATTAATTAACACCTATTTCTAGAAGGAAAGTCAAGAAAACATTTAATTTTTTAAACAAAAAATTTAAATTCTTGTTAAGTAAGGAAGACTGTACAAAAGAGCTCTTTTTTAAAATAGAGAGGCAAAGCATTAATGAAGACAAAGGAATAGTGGTATTATCTGTTGAAGATAATTTATAGTTTTATCAACTGGATTAGGGAGAAATGTTCACATGTTGAAATATTCACTTTGTAAGCTAAATAACGTGATTGAATGTATAAAAGAAAATGAAATAAAAAATATATTTAAAAAAATTTGAAGGTTTTTGACACTGAGTGCTTATGCTTGCCCAATATCAAAAGAACCTCAAACTTGAGTTCTTAATAGTTGGATACACTTCAAAATTATCCTGGTTTTTTTGGGGCCAGCAAGTGGTGTAGTGGTTAAGGCACTGGACTCCCACATGGCTGACCATGGTTCAAGTCCCAGATCTGGAGTCTTGAAACTCACACTGGGCATATGTGTGTGCATGCCCAAAATCCTGAGAGAAGAACTAAGGACAAGGGACTGCAGTGTGGCCATCCCCCACCAGGGGGGCTGAGTGTAATTTCTTGCTTTCTATCTCTCTCCGGCAAGCGCATGCATTGTATAGCAAAATCTCTCAAAAAAAAAAAAAATTACTGTTTTTCAAAAGCCAGACTTATTATTAATAAAATTCACTTTTAAATGTATTTTTAAAATTATTCTCATCTAATATATATGTTATTGTATATTTGTGCTCAAAGATAATCAATATTGAAATATTTATTGCTTCTAGAATTTGAATTTAACTTTTGGTAGACATACACCCCAAAATTTGGCCTGAAATTACTCTTAATGAGTTATAATATTTAATTTTTAGGTAATGCTTGGTATTGAACTTTCTGTAGAAACATATAACAAATGAAAAGTTGGGTTCCCTTCAACCAGTGCACCAATCTTACGCTGCTAAGTTATACTATCTAGAACTAAACTGAATTTTGATTCTTTGAAACAGAAAAAGAGAGTGAAGAAAAACAATCTAGTCTTTCTTTCTTCATAAATGTTAAAATTTTACCACAGTTTGAAATATATATATTTCCCTTTATTCTTTACTCCTTTTATTTTATTTTTATTTTATTTATACACCCACTAGAGAAAGACAGAGAATGGGAACAGGAGAAATCTCCCCCTCCCAAAAATAATAGATAGCCACACTGCAGTCCCTTCTCTTCCATTCTCCTCTTCTTGGATTTTGGGTATCCACATATCCACCTACCATGTTTTTCAAGCCACTGAGTGTGGGACTTGAACTGTGGAGTCGGCCATGTGGAATACAACCGCCTTAACCACCATGCCACTGACTGGCCCTCTTTACTCCTTTTGTAAGTTAAATTGCTTCTCTCCCCATATATCACTCTGTTCTTGCTGCCTGTAGCCTACGTTGTCCACATTTGTCTTTGTGTTCTGTATCTGCCAACCTTGATTAATTATTGTTTTTGTTTCAAAACTGTCCTGTTTATTTTCCATAATAAACATATTTCTACAGGGCACATGAAAATGTTAGAAGGAGAGTAGTCTGACTACACCAGGTCACAGTATTTTATTCTTTTCAGTCTTTAGAAAGGCTGTTAATTAACTTATTTTTAAATTACTGATTTCTGGAAATCAAAAATTCAGTTGATGATAATGTGTTTAGTATCCTCAACTGGACTGGTGTGAAATACGTTCATGTTGGGTAAATTCAACTTACAAGCAAAGTGATGTATAGTGATTAAATGTATACAATAAAATAATAATAATAACAATTTGACACAGTGATCAGTCCCTCTCCACAAAGCATTTGAAGTATCTTTTTAAAGTTATATAAAAAACACTCATCATATTATTTGGTGCACAGTTTTTAAAATGTGGTGTTATCCTGTTTGTCTATTTTTAGTTTTGTTGTCTGTGCTTTTGGTGCTATCTCCAATAAATCATTACCACATCCAATGTCAGTAACCTTCCCTTTAGTTTTCTCTAGGGATTTTGTGATTTTGTATCTTTTGTACAGATCTTTAGCACATTTTCAGTTATTTTTTTTAAAATCAGCATCATTATTAGTTTTACCACCATCTTTATTGAAAAGATTGTCCTTTTTCCATTGAATGGAATTCTTGTCAAAGATAAATTTAACCACATACACGAGAGTTTATTTCAGAGTCCCTTATTTTGTTTCAGTATCTATAGGTCTGTTTTATGCCAGTACCACACCGTGTGGATTATTTCAGTATTATATTATGTTTTGAAATCCTTTCAAAGTTGTGTGAGTTCTCTCTTTGTTACTCTTTTTCAAAATTGGTTTTGCTATTCGGTATGGCTTGAGATAATACATGATTTCTAGGGTAAGTTTTTCTATTTCTGCAAAAAAAAAAAAATACAATTGGGATTGCCATGAATCCACAGATTTGTTTAGATAATATTAACATCTTAACAATATTAACGCTTCTAGCCCATGAACATGAAATCTTACCATTCATTTGTTTCTTCGTTAGTTTCTTTCCACAATGTGTTTTCAGTCATCACCATACAAGTGTTTCACCTTTTTGTTTAGGTTTATTACTTAGTATTTTATTTATTAGGTTCTACTGGAAATACCATCCATTTCTTTTTAGGATTGTTCCTAGTGCAGAATGATGCAATGGTTTTTTTAAATGTTTATCTTGTATTCTGCAACTTTGGTGAAATAGTTTATTAGCTTTAACAGTTTTTTTGAAGAATATTTAGGGTTCTCTGTGCAAGATAATAATGTCATCTGTGAGCACAAATTATTCACAGGTTTCTTTACAATTTGGATGCCTTTTCTTCCTTTTTCGTGCCTAATTGATTTGACTGGAAGTTTCAGTGCTATGTTGAATAGAAGTGGCAGGAGTGGTACTTCTTTCCTTGATCCTGATTTTAGAGGAAAAAAATTTCAATTTTTACCATTAGGAGTTAGCTGTGAACTTTACATTTATGGACTTTATTATATTGAGGTAGTTTCCTTCTAATCCTTGTTCATTTAGTGTTTACCA